TATTGTTACAGACCCGTCTGCCAACCTTTGCTGATTTGGAAGAAATTTCATCTCACCTTTATCTACATGTCATTTGTGGAAGGGATACCCTCTCTTCATTGTCTTTGATACTAATGAGTCAACAAGTTTCTTGTATTACAGGCTGCAGCTGTAATTTTACAGTACCCGAGCTATAGAATTTCAGACTCGATCTGCAAAGATATGGGTCACATCAGAATTGTTACAGACCTCTCTGCCAACCTTTGCTGGTTTGGAAGAATTTCCATCTCACCTTCTCCCACATGTCATTTGTGGAAAGGATACCCTCTCTTCATTTTCTTTGATACCAATGAGTCAATAAGTTTCTAGTATTACAGGCTATAGCTGCAATTTTACAGTTTATGAGCTATAAAATTCCAGACTCTATCTGCAGAGTTACAAGTCCCATCTGTATTTTTACAGACCCGTCTGTCAACTTTGATGGTTTGGAATAAATTCATCTCACCTTCATCCACATGTCATTTATGGAAGGGATACCCTCCATTCATGGTCTTTGATACGAATGAGTCAACAAGTTTCTAGGATTACGGGCTGCAGCTGTAATTTTACATTTTTTGAGCTGTAAAATTTCAGACTCTATCTGCAAAGTTATAAGTCACATCTGTATTGTTACAAGCCCATCTGCTAGCCTCTTATTGTTTTCAAAAAATTCCATCTCACCTTCATCCACATGTCATTTGTGGAAGGGATACCTCTCTTCATGATCTTTAATACTAATGAGTCTATAAGTTTCTAGGATTACAGTCTGCGGCTACAATTTTACTGTTTTCGAGTTGTAGAATTACAGACTTTTCTGCAAAGTTACAAGTTTCATCTGTATTGTTATAGATTGTTGGTTTTCACATCAAAATTAGGGAATTTTAAGGCAGCGGAAATTTAAATTTTTTTATCTTTTAATACGTGATCGAATCATGTTGGATCCCTAATTCTATGCCCCAAGATACAATATGAATAAATTTAATCTAAGAAAATTGATTTATACCTCACAAGCTTCCAACTGATGTAGAGATTGAGCGAATTCAAATTCGCACGTCAGCAAACCAGCACATAAGTTGGAACGGTTCACGAGAAGTTCAAATGCACTTCCTCTAACGGTATCCACACGGGGAACGTCTACTAGTGCTTAGGATTATGTTAGTAATCCAAAAACACTTTTCTCAACTTATGAGCCTTTCTATCAAGATAACTTCTTGATCTAAGAATTGTAGAGAATCTCTTCCTCTCAACTTCTTAAAAGTCTCTTTATTGATAAAGGTCTCCTAGACCTATATTTATAGAGAAATAATTTTATATTTTATCTTATCATAAATTAGGAGATAATATCTATATTATTTAATTTAAAATCAAATAATATCTATGAAGATAATTCATATTAATTATCTTTAATAATCTCCCAACTAATTTGGAGATAATATCTATATTATTTAATTTAAAATCAAATAATATCTACGTAGATAATTCATATTAATTATCTTTAATAATCTCTCAACTAATTAAGAGATTTTATATGATAAGATTAAATAAATAATTAATTAAACTATTTAATTAATATAATTATTTTATTCTCCTTTATCTATTAATTAAATGACAAATCATTTAATTAATTAGTTTTAATTAATTAATCAAATTAATTAATTCAAATGAATTTCCATAAATGATAGGGACTTATTCGCCCTTGTGTGTGACTCCTTAGGTTCACCAATTAGCTAGCAGTGGGCCCACAACAAATTATGATTTAATATATGAATAATTAATTATAATTAATTATTCTGATTAATTAAACACCTTTTAATTAACGCTCTTGAACTAATCTACATTAAAACAAGAGTACCCACACTTTACGAGATATGTCTAGTAACAAGCCCGTAAAAACCTAGAATAGGTGAAGGTAAAACCGTGAAACCTTTTTCCATTTGCGCGTACCCATGCAAATACAATCCTTCCATTAACTAATCTCCATTCGAGACACAGGATTTGGATAATATGTCGGTATCCCGATAATCTCAATAACAAGACATCTATTTAGATAGTTGTTCAATGACCAATTTTAGAAAACTCATTTCCTAATTATTTGTCATATGTCTTGCGTAAGGACTTTCAGAATAACTATCTGTAGATAGTATAGGAGATTCACTTATTCTGCTAGATAGGTAATGGATCTTATGTCGGTCCTCGTAGACCTCCATATCTGAATGGTTTATGTCCAACATAAAATCCTTTATGTGATCAACCTGTGATCGGAGAAAAAACATCAAAGCACAAGTACCCATATACAAGATCACAACAGAACCTCAAGTCAAAGAATTACTTAATGCACTATCGCAAACATAGAGAATTCTAATTTCCGACAAGCATCCAATAAAGAATTCTCTAAGCGGGATCGTTCAGTGAACTTGTTGTCTAACAAGCACCCACGTGTATGCATTAGTGTCACTTACACTAATCACCTATGAAACGAGGCATCCTCCTTACAAGTATGCTATACACGTGCAAGTCTAATCTGAATCTAGTCAATACCCTATCTTGACTTATTCTACGACTTGGAACATTTAAGACTAAAACCATAGAGACTTATTTCATGATCACCATCCCATATGCGTGACCAAGTCCCGTAGTTATATATAGTCTAAGGGTTTCAACCAAATGTAAATTTATACATTCGATGAAGATGGCCAATGAAATAATTACATATATATATTGAATAAAAAAATGATCAAGAGTATTTAATTACAACAATCAAATTGGCTAGCCGGGCACTACTTTATCACAGACCCTTCTGCCAACCTCTTATTGTTTCCAAAAAAAATTCCATCTCACCTTCATCGACGTCATTTGGGGAATGGATACCCTCCCTTGTGGTCTTTGATACCAATGAGTCAATAAATTTCTAGGATTATTGGCTGCAGCTGCAATTTTATAGTTTTCGGGCTGCAGAATTCCAGACTCCATCTGTAAAGTTACAGGCTTGATCTATTGGATTACAGAATACGATTTGTTATTTGACAGACCCGAATCTGTCACATTTCACATGCCATCAGTCCTTTTGCAATCGCCGTCTCTCTTGTTACTTGCTTTTGTAAATGTCTTCAATTGCAAGATGTGGCCTTGTAGAATACAATTTTTAAATTTGCATACTATCTTATTCATTTTACACAGTCTCAAAACTGTTGTTTTCCAAGTCTAATATGATGAATTTACAGTGTCATCTGTAAATACCCAAAATTGCAGCCCTCTCTTTTATTTCATTTATTGGTTTCGTCCCATTTTTTAGATTACAGACAACCTATCAGTTTTGTTTACAGATGGCGTCTGCAGAGTTACAAACATCTGTTATCTTAATCGTCGGCTTTCCCAACTGGCACAATTCACTCTCTGGTCTTCCCCTTTTTCATTCGCCCATGCTTTTGTGATACGCGTCCCCGATTTATTCATCATTGTGGTTTATGACAATCCATCCCCATCGGATAACCGAGTTTCTTCCTCTTGGTAATTACATAACGAAACTTACGGGTCTTCTCTCTTCAGCCACTACTTCTGCTTCTGCTTCTCCTACAGCTGCCTTTTTCTCCGGCTTCCTCTGTTCCATATCCGTTAGTTTTGATTCGGAATATTACTGGTTGGAAGGTGTCTCCGACTATCTGTTATTTACAGTCACTGATCTATTTTTTTACAGTTCCCTATATGTTATTTACAGTTATATATATGTTATTTTACAGTCACGGCTGTAGAGACACTTTAACATTGAAGGATATTTTGGGTATACAAATTACCTTAATTGAGTAAATTTTTATATCTGACCTTTTTTGAAAATATTTTTAAAATCTGGCCTTAAAAATAAATATTTTTTTAAATTACCTTTTCAGTAATTATCCTTAATTTTTACCTATTTTATATTATTATTAAGTAAATATAAAAAATATATTATTCTGACTTTTAAATATATTAATTTGTGAGAAATTGAATAAATTTGGAATAATTTAAATTATAAATACTACAATTTGAATTTTGAGCAGGATAGAATTTAAATCCAAAGCAGCCAACAAATTAGCAGGTGCTGCCAATCAACATTCCACGTTCAACAAGCTAAATATGTAAATACACACGTATGTATTGTATTTGATTTTACATCGTATATATAAGTAAGAAATGGAGTAGGGTGGGTCCACCACCAGCATCATTCTTTTGCCGCAAATCACGATAAATAAAGTCTCGGGCCCCGTGCGATATCTTCTCATTCACAGTTCTCTGTGCACAATCCATACCGAGTAAGAATATGTCTACCATCATCCATTAACATTTAACAAATCCCCCTGTTATTGTATAACTACTATATAAACCTTTCTTTCCCGTGCTTTAAATCCTGCTTTCCCTACATCCTTCTCCGGCCTCTGACCTCTGTCTCAAAGTACCCCCCTGCTTTTCCATCTCCACTGACCTCAACCCTTTCTTCTTCATCCTGTTAATTGTATTTTTCTGTTTGGATGCTCTCTTCTTCCAATTTCGCAAAGCCAAGATGGATTCTCTGAAAGCCAGTTCAGCCCCGCCCAAGAGCAAACTCGCCAAGACGCTCCACAAGGTAATCCACCTGAAAACTGCCACGAAAACCCTGTCAAACACCGGTTTCTGTCTCTTAATTCCCCAGGAACAAAAGCTCAAACGCATTGTAGAGATGAATCGCAGTGCTTCGACAACGACGATGAGTCAAGGTCTCGGGACAGGGCCGCCATGGAGGCCTTCATGGCCAAGCTTTTCGCCACAATCTCGTCCGTCAAGGCCTCCTACGCGGAGCTCCAGTTGGCCCAGTTTCCCTACGACAGCGACGCCATTCACTCGGCAGACGAGGCCGTGGTTCAAGAGTTGAAGTCACTGTCGGAGCTCAAGCGAGCTTCTTGAAGAAACAGATTGATTATTCCCCTCCTCACGTCACTTTTCTGCTCACAGAGATTCAGGAGCAGCAGAGCATGATGAAGATGTACGAAATCACCATGAGGAAAATGCAATCGGAGATAGAAACCAAGGAGAATGACATTGCTGCCCTTGAGAAGGAGCTAGAAGAAATTATTTCGAACAACAAGACCCTCGAGAAGAGACTCAATTCCAGCGGGCAATTCTCAGTCCTCGACTGTGTAGATCCTTCGAATGCTACTCCCAATGGATTTAATATTGCTTTGCATTACGCTGTGAGATCGATTCGAAGCTTCGTCAAGGTAATGATTCGAGAAATGGAGTCTGCGAACTGGGATATAGAGGCTGCTGCAAGTGCGATTGAACCTGAAATCGTGTTTCCGAAATCGAATCACAGGTGTTTCGCGTTCGAATCGTTTGTTTGCAGAGAATGTTCGATGGGTTCAACTCTCACACCTATCAGATACCCAACGAGTCCGTCCCATTTGGAGATCAACGCAGGTTGCTCTTCATCGACCGCTTCAAGAAACTGAAGGCTGTTAATGTCGTTCAATTTCTGAAGAATAATTCGAATTCCGTTTTTGGGAAGTTCGTTCGAAGTAAATATCTCCGTTTGGTTCACCCAAAAATGGAGACCTCATTTTCTGGGAATCTGGGACAGAGGAAAATGATAAAGTCCGGCGAGTGGCCCGACACGGCTTTCTTCGCGGCGTTCACGGAAGTGGCCAAGCGCGTTTGGCTCTTGCATTGCTGGCTTTCTCGTTCGACCAGGAGGTGCAGATTTTTCAGGTGAAGAGGAACTGTAGATCCTCGGAGGTCTACATGGAGAAGCGTGGCGGAGGACGTGTTCACCGCCGCGGAGGACAGCGGATTCCGAGTGGCTTTCACGTTGTTCCGGGGTTAAGATCGGGAAGACGGTGATGCAGAGTCAAGTATATGTGTTTCCGGCGGATACTCCGTCCAGAGGCTGATGCTTCGAATTGCGGGGAGGTCGTGTCAGCCCCACGCGCTTCTGGCAACGCGCACCGTGAAAATCAGAGCAATGGAGGAATGTAGGTATTCTATCGACTCTTAACATGGGATAAGTCGGCGAGAGTTGATCGAGCGGTGTACATTCAATCATGTCGCTCAAATGGGCTGAGATCCTGTGGCAACGGCAAAAAATAGTGCATGGGGGGCGCGTGGTATACATGTACTATACTGGGCATTAGTTGGTATAATAATGTATTATGAAGACGATGGAGGGTTAGGAAGCAAAGTGCCGTTTGGGACCCACACTTGAATTTGATTTCATAATGCGAAATATGGGCTAGATTTCGGAGTATATAGTCAGAGAAGGGGCGGTGGTAAAAGGCAAATTAGTCAGTCAGGCGGGGAGGGAGGGGACCTCGGGGGCGTCTGTGTTGTTTCTAGGTGTTGAAAAGTTGCGGAAAATTGGACCATTGCGACCAATTGTACGTTCTCCAGTTTTGTTTTTCTTTGGTCTTTCTAAAATCCAACTTGTAAGTAGTTATAATTAAAATTTAATGGACTATTAATTTAGTTTAGTTCTAATTACATGATATTATATGATATTGAAATAGTTAATAAGAACTGCAAATTGACCTATTCTAGTTTGTTATTCATTTAAAATAAAACATTTCATATAAAACAATCTAATTCATAAAAATATATGGAACAACTTAGATGTAGTCAATTTTTATGAAAAATAGAAAAAAATTAGTGAAGCGGTATTCATTCTTTTGACAGAAAGAAAGAAATAATTCAGTACTAGCACCAAATGAGCACGTGTGGTCATCTTAGGGTTGTACATATGCTTAAATCAACTGTTTCACTAGAAAACTTGGGAAATACCTCACGAAGGTTAGATTGATGCACAACACAACCCAAGAGGCAAGTGGGTTGAGGCACGACCAAGGTGGGCCAAGGCATGATGTAGGTTGAGGATGTAGGCTAAGGGTCAAGGTGGGCCGAGGCACAATGCAATGCTAGGCAGGCCTGGGCATCAAGCGCTCATGGGCTAAAGACCAAGACAACATATCACTGAAGGACAAGATCAAGAAGTAGTAGATGTAGGGCCAACCCAAGATAAGTAACTCAATTGGGAGGGCCAGACAAGACTGTGATCCAAAAAGGCAGAGGCGCAAAGGCAAGTGGGCAAAGAAGTAAGGTGTAGGGCACTTAGACAAGGGGTGCACGATTCGTAGTGCCATGCAAGCACATAGGCTAGGTTGTGAGATGTAGGAGCACCAAACAATGGTGTAATCTATGGGGCACGGTCAAGAGTCTGAGGCGCCTAAGAGGAGTAATAGCCGTCGAGAGGATCAAGGAATGGTTGTACAAGACTAGTGGCCAATTTCAAAAAATAGTGGGAGGTGCCTAGAGGGTAGAGTGGCCAAGCATTTGAATTAAGGAGAGTGTGGAGTAAGGATAGCCGTCAAGATGGATTACAATTAAGCTTTAAGAAGATCTTATAGTCAAGTTTAAATTGGCCAAGGGTGCTCAAATTTGGGGGGGAGAAAGTATGGAATTTGGAACTTTAATTGTTAAGAGATTAAGAGGACCTGACCAAATGCTTTTATTAACAGGGTGCATACTTAGAAGGGAAGTGTGTGTGAGAAGAGTTTCGATCTAAGCATTGAGTATAGCTTAGGAAATGAGAGACTTCCATTCCTTGTTGTATCTTATCAAGTAAATAAAGTAAGATTGGTACTTGGTCCTACAAACTATTGTGTTGAGGGACTTTGTTTGGGATGATCAGGGCAATACTTTACTAGCACCCTACACTTGGGATTGTTTAAAGGAAACACAAGTGCTAAGTTGCGAGTGAGGCTTACAAGTTGCTAGTGAGTGGCTTGGCTGGTTATCATGCGGTGAAAAATTTGACATTTGGCTTTCGCACTAGTCGAGAGGTAACAAGGTTTGTTTCAAAGCTCATATCGCCTACACCAACCCGATGAGAGATCAACACCATGGTCAACCCAATGGCTATCATGCGTGAACAAATGAAGGAGGTACGTGAACAAATGAAGGAGGTAGATGTTCACTGAAGGTGCATTAAGACACGACTTAGATAATCACTTGAGGGAGTTGTTCCTACTATCTACCAACAAGTTGAAGTGATTAATGCCACGATTGGAGCTCTACAAAAGGTTGTGAATAGAGTTCCCTTGGTGATTGAGGGAGTTCAAGTCGAGGTGGTTTCCGAAAAGGCTTCTAAAGCCTTGGAGGAAAGTATGACTACCTTCAAGGCATAGGTTACGGATGTTCGTAAGAATTTATATGAATGTACAAAGACTGTGGAACCCAAGCTTATAGCCATGAGGCAAGCCATGGGAAATAGCAACATAACAACAATAGGAACAATGCTAGTTCATCAAGCCCTTAAGTTGCCAATTCCAAACTATGGATCTCAGAGCCCAAACCTATACAAGAATTAAGGAGGTGAAGGAAATAGAAAACTTCATATGGCATCTGGAGAACCACTTCAAGGCTGCAAGTATTTTCAAGGAGGAAAAGATGTCAATCACCACCATGTAACTGTTTGATGATGCAAAACTATAGTGGAGGACGAGGCAAGCTGAGATAAGAAGGCATCTAAAGAAGAGATCTCGACATGATAGATGCTCAAGAAGGAACTCAAAAAGTAGTTATTTCTTGGCAATGTAGGATGGATTGATTCTTGACTTGAAGCACAAAGGCTTTGTGAGAGAGTATATGAAGGATTTTAGTAGTATTATGTTGAACATTAAGGACATGTGCGAGAAAGATAAGTTTTACCACTTTTGCTCGAACTTGCAACTGTGGGCTTAAGCCAAATTGAAAAGGCTACAAGTGCAAGACTTGCCAGTAGTTATAGTAGCAATCGACAGTCTTGTTGTCACAACCCCACCCTATAACTCGAGTGAAGTGTGACAGTGGAATAGGGTTTAGCAACCTCCAATGCCCGAGATTCACCAGAGAAGGCCAAACCTTATTCAACTATCGTACTTGCTGAGTCCCCTGTATAACTCACATCTAAATAACTGAATAACATAACTGGAGAATGAAGTCATTATCATTATTGAAAACATAATCACTTTATGTAACTTCTTTTTTCTAAAATAAAATCTACACATAATATAACTATTTAACTTTCACTCCCTAAGCAACAACCCAAACCAATTACTATTAACATAAGTAGGGCTCAACCTTTCTAGACTTGAAATGCTGCTATGCTAGATGCACGTAATGCACCTACAAGTCTCTACTATTAAAACTTGAAAAATAAATAAGTAGTGAGACTTGCGTCCTAGTGAATGGTCTTCTAACTAAAACTAGTAAAACAGAATATGTCACATAATATTGTAAATAAAAGTAGTTTGTAAAACTGGCATAACTGATGTAGAATATCATATTATGAGATATTAATTCATTGATCATAATTTAAAAATAAGGTTAATTCGCCCGTTAAGCCTGCAGATCCACCCACTGTAAAATATCTTATAATGGCTAAGGATTGAAGTAAAAGCATAACGGCTCCATAAATAACATAAGGTCTGACGTGCACGTAGACATAACCATAACATAATAAAAATTTATTGGATGCTACTAGCCATGAGACTCGTTCTATGGGACACCACCCCCATGGACGACACACACATAGCTTGTTGGTGTTGTAAGGCCTACCGGGCAAATAAATCATGTAGTACTGCCACACTAACGTGGTTATTTAGCGAATTATCCAGGTGAATTGCAAGTATTCACGTATATAACATACGACATAAAAATGAGATTTCTGTTTCCATTTCACATAACAAAATAATCACAACATATAAATAAAAACATTTCAAAATAAAACCTTTGATTTTGAAATAAAACATTTATTAGTAAGAAATTATTAGTTTTATTATTTTAGAAAAATCCTGAATTTAGGAAAAAGACCACTCACCTCTGCTGATACTATGTGTTCCCAGTCTCAGTCCTGTTGGTCTTGCTGACTGGCTGATATATTTCTCCTAAAGTGTAATCACATACGCTATCAATAACATGCCAAAATTGTGTATGAATGCATGAACATGCTAGTGCATATATGAGATGTATTGCTCATTAAACTGTTTTCTACTCTTTTTATTTTGGGTCAAAATTTTTACTGCATACATATTTCAAAAATTCTCAAAATATTATTATATACTCATTGTCAAGCTAGGTATATTAGGGTATGTTCATATTCACAAAAGGAGTCATAATTATTTTTTTATAAAAAATAATCCATAGGTGGGTCATTAAACTTCTAGATTGAGGTTTTGTTAAATTTTAATATCAACTTAACTTTGTTTTTACTGAACTAACTAAGTCACTTTCTCAGTAAAATTAATATGAATTAATTAAATAAAAAGATTAATCTAAACTGGTAGAATTTCTTTCTTAATATCATAAAAACAGTACTTAAATAAAAAATGTAAACCGATTAAATAACACTAAAACACGACTAGATTAAAAATATAAAAGAATTTCTCTTAAGAACTTACCTAAAATTTGATCGAAATTTCTTCGTCTTGGTTTGGTCTTCGGCTCCTGTCTTCCCCCTGATTTCCGTTTTATTTTCTTCTTTATGTAATGTATATAGATAAGCTAAAGGCAACTAACTAAAAGTATTAAATAGGCGCTCCCATTAAGACAGTTCCCTCAAGTGGTGGGAAGATATTTTTATTATTTTATTACTATTTAACAAGCACTCCATGTGAAATACGATTCTTTTGCGATGGAAAGACACACACACATATATATATTTATTATTATTATTATTTTATTATTTATTTATCATCTTCTTAATCTTCAAGCCGTCCACGACTTACACCCAAAAATAGGCTAATGAATAGCCTTTAATCATTACTTCCCACTTGAGACAAAGTAACTTAAGAAAAAGTAAACCAAGGGAA